CTGGCTCAATCTCCCGGGAAATGCACGTTGGCTAATGGTGTACGACAATTACGACAACCCCCGTATTTCTGGTAGTTCCAATCCTTCAACAGTGGATATACGTAGATATCTGCCAGAAAGCGACCAGGGCTCGATCATCATCACAACCCGCTCAGCGCGCGTTACCCAAGGTGAGCGTCTCCACGTTCAGAAGCTGGTAGGCCTAGAGGACGGGCTGAAGATCTTGGCGAACATGTCTGGAAGGAAGGCTATAGGGAACGGTATGTTGTATGTATATCTAATAAGGTGTTTAGAACTAACAATACAGATGCTGATGCAAGAGCGCTCGTCTCGAGGCTGGATGGCCTTCCTCTTGCTCTGTCCACGGCTGGGGCATACCTCGAGCACATGAACATCAACTTTGCGGAGTATCTTCGGCTGTATGAGGTATCGTGGCTAAAGCTCCAGAAGACAAGTCCAATGTTAAGTTCATACGAAGACCGATCGCTGTACACAACATGGCAGGTCACTTTTGATCAGATACGAAAAGAAAATACGGCATCGGCCCAGTTGCTCAAGCTATGGGCCTATTTTGACAAGCAAGACATATGGTTTAGACTTCTTCAGCATGCATGCAATACGGAGAATAAGTGGATACAGAAGCTTACTAAGGACGAATTAAACTTTAATGAGGCAATTCGACTGCTATGCGAGTATGGTTTAGCTCATCCAGAACCCTCACTCGGGCAACTGTCTGGGTCCGCAGGGTACGGAGTGCATAGCTGTGTGCACTCATGGACGACATCTGTCTTGAACGGCGAGTGGGACGACGGCCTGGCACAGCTAGCTCTTACTTGTGTGGCACTTGAAGTTCCTAGCATGGATGTAGACGAGTGGTGGCTCTTGCAGCAGCGGCTTCTTCAACATGCTGCAAGATGCAGAGAATTTATCATAAATGGCAGCGTGGGTAGTAAGGGAATGGAATGGGCGCTGCACAACTTAGGCATGCTCTACGCGGACCAAGGCAGGCTGGCGGAGGCGGAGGCTATGTGCGATCGGGCGCTGCAAGGCAAGGAGGAGGCATTTGGACCGAAACACACATCGACACTCTCAACTGTCAACAACCTAGGCATCCTCTACGCAGACCAAGGCAGGCTGGTGGAGGCGAGGGCTATGTACGATCGGGCGCTGCAAGGCTACGAGGAGGCACTCGGACTAAAGCACACATTGACACTTAATATGGTCAACAACCTAGGCATCCTCTACGCGGACCAAGGCAGGCTGGCAGAGGCGGAGGCTATGTACAATCGGGCGCTGCAAGGCTACGAAGAGGCATTCGGACCAAAGCACACATCGACACTCTTAACGGTCAACAACCTAGGCATCCTCTACGCAGACCAAGGCAGGCTGGCGGAGGCAGAGGCTATGTGCGATCGGGCGCTGCAAGGTAAGGAGGAGGCATTTGGACCGAAACACATATCGACACTCTTAACGGTCGGCAACCTAGGCATCCTCTACGCAGACCAAGGCAGGCTGGTGGAGGCGAGGGCTATGTACGATCGGGCGCTGCAAGGCTACGAGGAGGCACTCGGACCAAAGCACACATTGGCACTCTCAACGGTCAACAACCTAGGCAACCTCTACGCGGACCAAGGCAGGCTGGCGGAGGCGGAGGCTATGTACGATCGGGCGCTGCAAGGCTACGAGGAGGCACTCGATTCTCAGCTTCTGCCGACATACTTGCCGGCGTTGAACACCTTGTTCTCCGTCGGTGACCTCTACGCGCGGACCGATCGTATAGACTCGGCAAGGGAAATGTATAGTCGGGCATTGGCTGGATATACAGCTGTTCAAGGGCCCTCTTCAAGATGGTGTAGCGAGCTCGAGGATCGGCTTCAGGGTTTGCAAGTTGCGTCTGCTGAGCTGAATGGAGACCAGCCTATGTCTACAGACATGGAAGCGCCGACGTCGAGATCTTTTAGGCGCATCTTCCGCAAACTGAGAAAGAGCTCGGCGCGGAATAGTCAGTAATAACTAGTATCTTCCTTATCCACGCCAGTGTCTTGTCTCGACCTAAATAAACCCGCAATGCCGTGAACTTACCAAGTAACTAGTACGTACGATGATGAAAATGCAGGTGCATGGACTACTGGGCAGGTTTACGCTAACGTGAATTCAAATACCAGGTAAGGGTAGCAGGCACAGATAGAGCCATCCTGAAGGCGAGAGACTTCTCAGCAACCCTATCCCAAGCATCTGCGTGTTTCTTCGCACTGCTACCCTCAGGAGAACAAAGGATCCAGCAGTTGAGAGCAAAGAGGCTAGTTGTGTCGACGGTACGCCCTGAGGGCCTGGTATAGCTGAAGGGTTGTGATCCATGTGACTTCTGCATATATTCACCATACTGAACGATGCATTCTGCCAGATCATCGTCGGTGATGTTGATAGCTCGCATGATGATCGAACGCTGTATCGCGACGACAGCCCATGTGAACTTTTCCGTGTCGGTGTACTTGAACTTTTGAGCTAGATGACCCCAGTTTGGATTATATTAATAGTCAGTATCGCGCGTTCAGCTAAAAGCGGTCGCATCAATACGTACATTTGCCAGTCGCTCTGGAAACGCTGCTACATAACCGGGCTTGGAGTCAGCACAAACCATTTGGTCGAAGCGTCGACTCCGTCTCTCGAAAGACATCCGAGAAACATGGGACGGTATTGATCTTGTTTGCCAGTGCTGTATCGGGGCCGCACTTCACCTCGCTTCGCCGAATCGACGTTGCCGAAACCTTCCCAATAGTTACTGTTAACGCTCACCTCAGGTGCGACGATGACGAGGCTTCTCTTGAAGTAGCGGGCCCAGTTTGACATTCTGTGCTCACCAGGGTACTGAGTAAGATAGATTTGACTCTGAGGATGGTAGAGCTCCTTTTTCGTATGCATAAGCTGGGAGACTGCCTTTATTGCTTCCTGTCTGTTGAGATCCTTGAGAGTTACCTGCACACCTGAAATTTGAAGAGCTTTGAGGATAGTCGCTTTGATACTGGGCTCCGAGTCCCACACCCACTCATGAGGCTGATAGACAACAGGTACACGGGCGACGCCAGTGAACTGAGGTTGCGCGCTGTACTCTGGCACGAGTGGCAGTACGTCGGCCCAGTCGTTCCGGCCCATGGGTGAGAGTGGGTGATGCGAGGATCTCACGCTCTTGACCTCTTCGCCGCGCCTGAGAGAGAGAACGTAGCGAGGCTCGTTGCTGTCACTGCTGGGGACGACATTGACAAGTGGAGGCAATGGCCCACAAGCCCAGATGTTGTTCTGATGAGCCCGAACCCACTGTGATTGTTGGTTGCCTGACATGGTCGCCAAAGTGGATGAGTCGATGAAGAATGAAGAATATGTTGTGCTTTCCAGAGTGTGAGTGAGTATCTCTTGCCCGCGAAATTCGAGTACCTTATGTATGCATTGAAATCCTACAGCGGGTCGTTTGTGTGCAGTGCGCGTGACCAAGATTGCGCATCAGGATTTCTCGCAAACGGTCAGTGGCAGTTTGCCTGATTGACTTACCGATAGGCTATGTAAAGTATCAAACGCTGAAAACATCAGTAGAATTACCTTTCCCAAATATTAGGCTTGGAGTGAAGGTGGTGTGAGAGGTAAGTGATTGTAACGACTGCGCGTCACAAGCAGAAATCAAATCGTCCGGAGGCACTCAGCTCTCTGATTGCGTAGCCTAGTGTACATAGCAACTGTCACCGCCGAGGTAGCCACCTTAATCGTAAGTTGTCGCACCTCACAGGCACTCACTTGCCGTTTCTATAGCACGTGACACAACCTAGTGCGCGTCCAAGCTCAGGAAGTCACCAGGCACTATAAGAGTATTCCAAAGTATCCGGGCTCTCTTGATCACTCACAACACAACCTCTTTGTCCCTTCACTGCCGTGCGTGACGGTGAACAGACAATATGCCCGTCTGGGTCAACACTGACGACATATCTGCTCTCTCGAAAGGTTCCTATCGTATAGTAAGTGGCTCTACTTGTCATGCTCGTTGACTCGCACTGATTGGACATGCTCACTCAGACTCACTTTGCATGGAATCGTATTCGAGATGGCCAGAACCCTTCAGATCTCTCTCGACCCACGTTCGGATTCCGGGTAACGAAGCCGTTCCAGTCGCCTAAGTACTCCAACAAACAGTTTGCTGTTGGAATGCAAGGTCAAGTCCTTCGTTGTGAAGACGATGGGTGCTTATGTGGAATGTCGCGACCTGTTCAACGAATCCAGAGAACCTGAAGGATTGGATTGCCCGAAGCTGCATTGAGATTGGCACTGAGCCTTATGGTACCTGGGCTATAAATCAAATTCAGATTCCAAGGACAGCTGCGAAGTTGACTGCCAAGGAGAACGCCGTTTTCGAGGATCCCCAGTGCCAGCATCTCGCCCTTGGCATCAGTTCCTTTCTCAAGACCTTTGCAAAGATACAAACACTGGGGCTCACTGCTGATAGTCTTAGCAGGCTTGGTGTTGAGTCAGGAAACAAGGTCCCATGGCTTACTGCGAAGATTGTTGCTGGTATCAAAAACGCTGGCGTCCTTAACGTGCTGAACGACCCGAAATCTACCTTGGATCAGCTCATGATGGCGGCTTAGCATGATTGTGGGCACACTGCAGCTCGCGGAAAATCTGGTATCTACATCCGCATCTACATCGAGAAACCCGGCCCCAGCTATGCCAAGAAGAAGTCACACTTGTATGGTGGACAGTCCGCTAGCTTCTACGATCGCCACAAGTGCATACGTATATCGTGTCCGTGATTTAGTGCACAACATAGTGTATCAGAGCTATGAACTCGTCCGGGCTGAAACTGGTATTCTCAACACCAAGCCCATCTGACGCTAGTCCCGAAGCAGACACTGGACGAGCAAAAAGAAGAACTTCGCAACATAGCGATATGAGGCTGCAGGCAACGTCAGATGGTGCAAAAAGATCATATAACAATGGCAAAAAGATAATTGTTGCGACGTGGGCAGGATTCGAACCTGCGCTCCCGAAGGAACAAGATTTCTAGTCTTGCGCGATAACCACTCCGCCACCACGCCAGGTGTTGTTGATCGAGTGATGGATCATTTGATGAAAGTCTAAAAAATTGCAGCGTATATATCATGAGCAATGATCTCTCAGTCGTGAGGCTGATGTTCGACAGGCGGGGATAGGTGGGACAACACGGGACCTAGCAGAGACTTCGGGAGGCTTGAGCCGTGGGGCTATGCAGCTTACCAAAAATACACTCCCCATTCTGAAACATCACTTCAGCCAATATTGATGACCGAGCGTGTGTAACTATTACTCGTAGGCTAGATCATTACCTCTTCATTCTACCAAAAATCAATGACATTTCCGTTCATCGCAAAGGCTGCACGACGTCGAGCTCCAATGCGGTTCGGGAAGTGGCCTCGGTTCTCCCAGCACAGCGTTCATGCAGGGTTAACGACCCAGCGGGCATCAAGGCTGCTGCTCTTCTCCCAGCCCAGCGTGGCGTCTCGGACTTCAAAGCTGAAGCTCTGTAAGATAGACCCCGACGCTACCAGCGCAACACCCAATGATGATTTCCGAGGCTGTTCAACCTGCGCTCCGATTGGCCCCGTCCCAACGCTGTCTAGATTAATGCCCCGAAGCCAGCAACCATCAGCGCTGCTGACTACAGTGCAATGCGCATCACTTGCAGTGCCGGCGAGCTAGGAATGGCGACTGAGGTGAGCAGCAGAGCGCCATGGTGCTCCCGACGTCCTCTCGGTAGGGGCCTCTCCTGCGGGCACTGTCAGATCTACAGCGCCGTCATGGGTTCATAGGCAATCTTGCAGGGCTGCATGCCCGAGGCCGTGGAAGCTGCGCACTCGGTGTTGGATCGAGGTGTGGGCTTATAATGACAGCGGTGCCATTCCGTCAGACGTGAGTGACCTTGCTCGTTGATGTTACTCTGCTCCAGTCACGCATTTCTGGGTGCTCAATGTTGTCCTTGTCTTGAGCTGTCGCTGCCACTTCTATCGTGATACCTTTTCGGCGATTTGCGACAATGCTTCAACTCACCTCTCCTCGCCTTCCTGGCGTTCCTCTGCTCGAACTTCGTTACACTGGACCCGAGTATGCGCGATGGCGGCGATGTCTAAAGTTCGCCCTCGATGCAAAAGGCACCTGGAAGTACTGCAACGGCAAGTGCACAATGCCCATGCCTGATGCCGGAACCACAGCTACAAACTGTTCGACGACGAAGCTCCAACCATGCTTGCTCGAAGAGCGCAGAGAGTGGGTCAAGCACGATCGCGAAGTCAAGCTCGACGTTTTCCTCTCGATGGCAGAAGAAGTCATGCTGGAGGTGTTCGAAGTCGGCCCACCACTCCCGCCATCAAACATGAATGCGCAAGAGATGCTGGAGACGCTGGACGCGCACTTTAAAGTTTTCAAGTTTGAGCCATACCACCACGCCTTCTGCCATTTCCTCAATCTACACATCGACCAATATCCGTCGATCGAGGAGTTCAACCAGGAATTCGTAACCACGCTAGAAGATCTTCTTGATCATGGCCATCCGATGTCGAACACCCAGGCTTGCAGCGCATACTTTTCAAAGCTACGATGTACCCAAAATCCCTGGGTCGCAAAGAAGCTGGAGGAGTGGGACTCGCAGCCCAAGGAGGTTGACATCCTTGAGCTGTTGCAAGAATCACCACCTTGGTCCGTCATCCGTCCACTCGCCACCAAGTCGTCCCAGAACTTCCGAGTCGAGTCTATTCCCGAAGAATACCTCGAAGACAGCTCAGCGTCTGACAGTGAAGCTCCGTCTGAAAAGTCTGATGCGTCGACGGTGTCGAGTATCTCCGAGTACTCACGCCAGGTCTCGACCATGACAATGGACATGGCAAAGTCACAGCAAGCCACACCGGAGCGACAAAAGTCTGTCATGACTGCACGATCACAGGAGATCACCATTCGCGCATCCGCTGAGGATATATCCGAGGGTATGTGTGAGACTCTCCGCAGGGAGCTTGAGAAGGTTCCTACCATTACTATTCCAGAGCGCGGGAGCTCGAAGAACCAGGTTCCTGGCACGATCCTTTCAGACGACCCAAATGCTCCACTGCCAGAATGGCTCGTATCAAAGAAGAGCGTGGCCCGCAAGCCACCTCCACCACATGACCGCCCACTGCCTCCTCTACCTCCACAAGCGCAGACGCAGGCAGCCAGGGCGAGCAAGTCATCGTCCAAGTCTTCATCGCCAAACCTTCAAGCAGCAGCATTCAAGAACTCCTCGCAAGTCAATCTTTGCCCCCCTTCTTCCTCCACAACAAACCTCCAACTTGAAACCACGCACCCAACACTCGTCCCAACCCTCTCCACCGACGTGCACCCCGCCCTCCGCGCATGTCCCACAACAGCATCACAGCCATACCTCGCACCGCAACTACCACAGGCCTCGAAATCAAGCACCTCGCTCTCTTCCCTGCCTCAAATCGACACCACTCCACTGGCGTTCCCCTTCCCCAACGCCAGCACCACAAACCTATCCACTTTATCAGCAAACAACAACGACGCAGCGGCGCCACTGAGGCGGCCCTCAACATCAACCCCCAACCTCGCAATCCCATGGCCCTCAACACCCGACATCGCGCCGCGCCCGCACTCAAGCCGCGCCATGCTGCCCGCTGTCCAGACGCCGAATCCGATCGCATCGCAGGCACAGATTGCATATACTGCGTCGCCCACGCAATTCACACACCGGGATTCTCACGACGACGAGTGCAACGACGAAGATGACGATGCGGAATTTGACGACGACGAAGAATTCCTTCCCTTGCAAGGAACCTCGACGCGCGACAGCGCATGGGACTATCTCTACGAAGCAAAAGGCGGGTACCTAATTACCCGGGAGCGGACCGTTGAGACAACGAGTCCTAGTACGAGGCCGAGGCGCGGGCATGCGAAGAGTTCGAGTTTGGATCTGGTGGCGAGGTTGGGCGGGGAGAATGTCAGTGTGGGTGAGGAGCAGGAGGGGGAGAAGGAGAAGAGGAGGCGGAAGAAGAAGAGCTGGAGTATGGGCGGGGGATTGAGCATGGGCAAGTTGGCGATGGTGGGAGGAGGGAGCAAGGTTAGGGAGATTATTTGAGAAAGGATGGGAGATGGGAGAGTTTGGATGTGATGATACCCACTACTGTCGTTTTGAGTTTCGTTGTGTTTATGTTTGAGTTTACATATATACCCTCTTCTTTACTTTGTCTCTTAATCATAGCAATACACACTTCAAAAGCTACACTTCCGTCTTTCATGTGTTCATGATTGTATTGGTTTAAAGCTCAGATCGTGATACATCATCCATTACGCTTACATAGACTCATCTACTCGTACCATGCAACTCTCCTCACATCTACTGCGTTTCCCGCACAACCTTGTCGACCGCCTTGGCAAAGTACTCGACATTGTTAGTGTTCAAGCCAGCCATGGAGATACGGCCGTTCTTGGTCATGTAGACGTGCGCATCCTCCCGAATCTTGAGCACCTGCTGCTCGGTCAAGCCCGTGAAGCTGAACATGCCAATCTGGTCTGTAATGTGGTTCCATGTGCCAGGCGTGCCCAGCTCCTCAAGCTTGCTGCGGAGCGCCGTGCGCATCTCCTTGATGCGGCCCGACATCTCCCTCAGGTTTGCTTCCCACTCGGCGAACAGCTTGGGGTCGTTGAGAACGGTCGAGGCAATGCGGGCGCCATATGCGGGGGGATTCGAAATCTCGGAGCGCTGGAGAATGGCGAGTTGCGAGGCGACGCGCTTGACCGTCTCCTCGGCGTCGGACGAGGGCGATGTGACAAAGTGGAAGCAGCCCGCGCGCTCGCCGTACAGACCAAAGTTCTTGGCGTACGACTGCGCAATACACAACTCGAAGCCCTGCTCTATGAAGTAGCGGATCGCCCAGCCATCACGGGCCAGGTCACCCGAGGCGAAACCTTGGTAGGCAGTGTCGAAGAAGGGGAAGTGCTTCTTTGAGCGAATCACCTCAGCAATCTTCTTCCACTGGTCTTGTGTGGGGTCGACACCGGTAGGGTTGTGTGCGCAGGCGTGGAGCAGAATGATGCTGCCTTCTGGAGCGTCTTGTATCGCGCCAACCATGCCCTCAAAGTCGAGGCCCTTGGTCTTCTTGGAGAAGTAGGGGTATGTCTTGTACGGCAAGCCGACATTGGAGAAGATCTGGAAGTGGTTTGCCCATGTTGGGTCGGAGAAGTAGGCGGTGCGCTCTGAGCCCGTCTTGTAGAACTTGGAGAGGAAGAGAGCGCCCAGATGGACGGCACCGGTACCGGAGATGGTCTGCAAGCTGGTGACACGCTTCTCCTTGATGGCGGGGCTGTCACCACCAAGCACAAGCTTCTGGGAGGCGGCAGTGAAGTCTGCGAGACCGGCGATGGGGAGGTATTCGTGGTTGAGGTCGGGGTCGTTGCGGAGGATCTCGTCGGCCTGGGCAGTGATGTCAGCGGGTGGACTCATGAGAAGGGCTAGGTAGGAGGAGCTATTGAAGCTCACTGAGGTTCCTCACTCACCTTCTTGACTACGGGCAAGATCCATGGCTTCGCATTGTTGTCTCGGTAGGCGCCAATGCCCAGGTCGACTTTCTTGGGGTCGTTGTCGCGACGGTAAGCGGCCATCAACCCGAAGAGCGGGTCTTCTGGCGCCTGGGGGACGGCATTCGCATCGAAAGATGTGGCAGCCATTGGTGCAATGTGAGTGGTGATCTGGTTAAGCCGTGACTGTGGTGAGGCCTGCGAGGTAGAAGTACTGGAGGACGGGGATGTGGAAGAATGGGGCGGTTGTTTTGGAGAAGGTGAGTGTGGCATGATGACTGTGAGAGCTCCCACACTTTTACGTTTCACCGCCTAGAAAGAGCCACACGTCGCCGCACGCTAGACCCCGCGCCTTTTCTGGATGATTTTGCCCGGGGAAGGGGATGCGGAGATTCGGAGAGCAGGATGACTGAATCGTCTACCATCGCGACAGCTCCGGATAGCCTTCTTTATGAGCTGCTCACACGCCCGCGGTGTCTGCAGGGTCTGCTGAGCAAGC